GGGCGCAGTTCCTTTTGTAGCAAACGTGACTTAAAGCACCTTAGATACTCAAGAAGAACTTCAAGCACCATAACGCTGTATCAATAGCTCTTGGCACTTCCGCCATGGGCAGATTACGCCAATCGCCCGCTATGCCACATAAGCAAAAATGAAGCAACGGCCTTCATGATGACTTGACCTGTTGTTTGCAAGGGCTTGCACTTAGGGATCTTGCTTCCGGGAGGACGTAACCAGGTGCAGAGGAACGGAGGTGAACGTGATAATGCAGTGACATACAGCTATAATATAAAAGTTTAATAGGCTAACTGTCGACAAAGTGAGTTCGCCGAACTGCACCTTTCCAACACACTTGGATTTGCAGCTGTTGCGCAGCTTTACCGGACGCCGTACAATTTTGCTGGCCTCTGACAAAAGGCACCTCCCATAGCACTTCCAGCTCCATTAGCAAATGTGCACAACGTCCGATATTTGATCACAGGCTTTCACCCAACGTTTGAGCCCTTTTTTTCGGCCTGTTCCAGCTCTGGTGCGTCCGTAAAAGCTGCAAGCTTCCTACATATGACCAGCAAATGAGGAAGCCTGAACAGCTGCGCGGCGCCCTGAGAAGCTGCTGTGGACCCTGCAAACGTTTGCAAGGTACTGTTCGTTGCAAAACCTTCATGCTGTAGCCGCCGCACTTCAGTTCCATTGCTCTAATTTATTACGCGGTTATCTCAAGCATTTATTTATTGAACCCCTGCTGACGTTGCTTCAGGCACAGCGTCGCCGCTTCACGGACATCGACTTGCCTGACTCATTTGTGAGGGCAAGGTGCGACTTGCGGCAACTCATTTTTTTGAGGTGAGATGCTTGCTTCTCGAGCTTGTGTATGGATCTTTGAAACATAAGGGGCTTTGTCGACGGGCTTTCGACGGGCATGTGTTTGTGCAGCGCTCTGCTGCAAGAATATGGGCGTATGCGGCGTTTGAGCGTAATTCCGACAGTTGTGCTTTAGCTGTGTAAGGAGCCTACGAAGGCTGAAAGCTTGGCGGTCTGGCAGGAAAGTACACGTCGTTAGGCGAGACATGACCACTTCGTCCGATGTCCGTGACCTTCCTCGCGACAGAGACGACTGCTCATTGGAGTTGCCCAAGACCTTCAAGATCGACCGCATTCCACCTGGCAACGAGAATCTCTGCGTACACCACATTTCAACTCTCCAAGA